GTCTACACAAACCATCATCACATATATAATCGGCGGGAAGTTATTCGTTGAGAAGAATACCTTTTTTCTTCGCTAAATATTATTTGCATATTATATAAGCGCTCTTAATGGCTGTTTTTGGCGTTTTCATAGATTTCCTACATATTTTCTCTTTTTAGTAACTATTACCTGTAGTTAATAGTAAAAAAACTCGAATTTTGGTTTTGAAATACCTACTTAATACAGTACTGACGGTGACCAAGAGTAGATTATGAAATGCTGCCTTAGTAAACATATTTTTACATCTTAATATATGCAAATAATTCAGCAATTACCTGTGCCTCTGATAATAATCTTTGAGGCACACTTTAGCCATAGTTGATGTAATACTCACCTAGTTAGTTACCCAGATCTTTATGGTTTTAAATCTCAAACTTGAGTGCATAAACCAGTTTCTTTGAAAAAATAATAACAAGTGACTTCTGTTTAGAAAGAATTTGATGTTGTGTTTTATGAGGATGTAATTGATTTCACAAAAAGAAGGTTTCATAACGAAATGATGGGCCGGACTTTCCTGAGTCCTGATAAGAAGCCATGACCGACGAAGTTCACCAAGTCAGGTGTAAGGATATATCCAAGCTGATGATATTCGGTGACAGCAGAAGTATATTACGAATTCCATATTAGATAAGTTTATTTTAAATATCACACAGTGATTCAGTATTAACAACTGGATGACATTATTTATTTATTTAAATGCATAAAATCTTGGTACAATATGGCTCCAAGACGGATGCGCCACACAATAATAATAAAGCAACATAGATCAAAAGAAAAGAAAAAAATATATAAGTAGAGAACGGATAAAGAACTTCATCTGGAAGGAAGACAGTCATGCTTAACAAGTTGAAACAGTGTTGGTTAACTATCATCGGGAAGGGAAGAAAGAAGGAAATCGCAACACATTCGCCATTGATTAAGATTCTTGGCCATATCCGATAACGTTTCGAGCCATCGATTCCAGCTATCTCCCGGACCCCAACCAGAGAGTCATGACGCACCAACCGATGCTAATCTAGCACAAACATCTTTCATCCCACGACGCCATATCATGGACTGACCACCTCTCCGCCTTTTCCATCCCGTCCCAGGGCTAGCTAGCGAACAGAGACCTGTACGGAAGCCTCTGGGTGACATTCACAGCACATGTCCAAGCCACCGGAGCCGGTGTTTCCAGATCACGACACTCAATGTATGGTGATTTCCACTGTGTTCAAACACACGCCGCCGAACCTCAGAATTACTCACGCGATGATGCCATCGAACGCAAGCAATCTTGTGGAGACGGCGAAGATCGAACACGCAGAGTCGCCTCACATCCTCAGCTCGAAGAGGCCAGGTTTCACAAGGTTTTGAGCATAAATTATTGCCACTCATAGTCATATCAATTTAGTCACACGGTTTCATAATTTGTCTTATGTATATTTTTCTGTCTTTTCAACTTCCATTTGTTGTTTGTTGCCACTTCCCATGTATCCAGTATAGGCGTTACGTAATTCCAATAGCACGTTTGCGGTGTTGAGTCGATAAACAAAATTTCAGTGAATAACCTCTCTCTCCACCTAACAACAAAGGAAAATTGGAGAGATGAAATATAGAGAAAAGTATATATAAGACAAATTATGAAACCGTGTGACTAAATTGATATGACTATGAATGGCAGTAATAATTTATGCTCGAAACCTTGTCATCCAGTTGTTAATACTGTATCACTGTATAATATGTAAAATAAACTTATCTAATATGGAATTATATCCTACCATAGTACCCAAGTTCTACAGTTACGTTATATTACAAATTGGCAGAAGTTAATATTCATAAGCTAATGAATTTTGATCCATTTGCTGAAAGTTAAACACGGTCGCCTAGTAATCAGAATGTTTGGTTTCGATGCTGAAGGAAGCCACTGTTATTCACAGCTGTAGAGTTAAACAGCAGAACGTAACAGCTACTCGGTGGTGGTTTTTTTAAACGGGTGCAGATTTGTAGTGTAGTAGTCTACCTTGAAATCCCTCAAATGCCTACAAGCGCTAACACTTGAAAATTTTATTGTCGTTTTTTTTGTTTTCATTCAGAATTCACACACAAGTTAGATTTTCTTTGTTATACATCATCTTTAACGTATGCATTGTATTATAGTTCTCTTCATTCAACTAGTCCAAAATATGTTTTGGCTGTGTTTGTTGTTTGTTCGTTTTTTTTCTACGGTATTTATCATAAACCGTGCAATGAAAGTCAAATTCGGTTCATAAATCTGTATACGTATCGTGTATTTGTGCATACTTATTATTATAGTGAACATCATCTCCCTGTCAAATGTACAATGTAACAAAATGTACACTATTCTTTGTCCTCTATATATACATTACACACAGTTACATAATGTCTTGTTTAGAATAGCATAAATTAGACAAATTCAGTTCTAATTTCATTTATGGATGGATACATGTGCTTTTATTCTATCATAATATCGTTTCTATCATATATTTTTTTAACTGAGAAAATGCATGACTAAGCTTCATTATTCAAATCAATGCATATAACACTGACTGCCGCCGTGTAAACTACCACAACTGATCTAGTCTAGCATCGACACAACGTGAAGAAAGGTTGAAAACACGGATTGATTTGAACTGCAGATATTCAGACCGATTTGCTGTCATCATTGTGTAAACAGGGCTTACCTGGTGGTTGTTTCACGTATCATCTCTAATATGGTCATTTATATATATATGAACATAGACAAGACGGAGGTTATGAAAATAACCAGCCAACAACAACAACAGCAGCCACATCCAGCGTCAATCACCATCAATGGGAGGGATTTGAAAGAGGTTACTTCATTCACTCACTTATCTAGGGAGCATTGTCTCAACAACAGGCAGTCGGAACGGACGAGGATGTCAAATCGAGCGACAATCGAGAAGGCGAGAAACACATTCATCAACCTGAAACCAATCTGGAAATCTTCGTCACTCGGCATCAACAACAAAATTCGGTAGGATTTTCAATACAAACAGCGTCAAGTCAGTCAGTTGTTCTATACGGATCAGAAACTTGGCAGGCGGGCGGGTAACAAAGAATATTTCCAACAGCCTGTTGCAGACCAGACCTTTATCAACAACTGTCTTCGCTGGATCTATACTGAAGATCAGATGGCCGGGCCGGAAAGAATCACCAACAAGAAACTATGGCTGGGAACAAACAAAACAACAACCAATCGCCAACCAACAAATTTGCAGGAGGAAGTGGAGATGGATTGGACACTCGCTGAGGAGGCCGGTTGGTGACATCGCGCGCGCGTCAGGCCATTACTCGAGTGGAACCAGGACGAAAGGGAAGCGGCGTGTGGGACGTCCAAGGGTGACATGAAGGAGTTGAAACAGTATGGACCAACATGGATGCAGGTGTGAAAAGTACAGCAGAAGACAAGCAAGTGAGATGTGCAGTTGAAACCCTATGTTCCACTGTGAACCCAAGGGAACAACAATATATATCTATCTTGTCGAGTATAGCAGTTTCTTAGCTAGTTTTTTTGTTATCCGGGTTTATTAAGCTCGGGTCACCCAATCTAATTAAATCACTACAGTTTTAGTTGAATTGTATATTTATTTACGTAATAATCAACCACTTTTTATCTAGAAATCTTACAGAGTAAATAGAAACCCATGCGGTTATTTTCTTTCCTTTGTTTCGTTAACACAGCACAGCATATTCACAAGTAATTCAACATCCGATACCAAGTTTCCCACTTCTTTCTTTCTCTTACACTCGATTTCAAAAATATTCCGTGCAGTAAAATCCATTCTTCCAAATAAAATATCATTAATTGATACAACTCTAGCATATCTAAGTATAATTCCGTTGGATTAGCCTCAACATGATTAATATCCTTTTTAAACAGAATATTACTTTTCATAACTATTGATGATTGAAGTAGAATTTTGAATAAGATTCAGATGTATGTAGACCTTTTAGGTTAGATAAATACACAGTAAAGATATTTGATGTTGTTATCATTTTGAGACACACGTTACCGTTGTTGTTGTTGTTTCAACACAGATTTTTAAAAAGTTGTTAAAATTTGAATAACACGGATTTAGGCATATCGGCATCACTAGTTGAAAATGCTTGTTAAGGGATAATTATAGAGACTGAATTACACTCAATTAACTTCCTGTTACTTTATTCCTTCACGTCCTCAATGGGAAAATAGGGCTTCAAGCTACAGCTTTGAAGTTTCGATGGCAGTGGTTTCACTTTTTACGGGGTGGAGTTGCTAACCTCACATCCAACCTTCCCTCTTTACGGGATTACTATCGGCTGAGCAAGGTTTTAGAGTGTGTCGGTCGAGGATCGAACCCCGGGTCACGTGCATAGTTGGCAAGCGTCCCACCGACGCACAGCAATCACACTCTAATGAAAGTAATATCTAATTTATCAAAGGTCATAGTAATACACATATGTGTCGTTCTTAATAAATTTTTTACCATGACTATAGTTTTATGTGGAAAAGGAAACGAAGCACTTCAAAGAGTAGTGCTATTGTTTAAGTCTTATTGAGTTCTGTTCAATCTCCTTTCCCAATTTCGTGTTGTTTTTTTTCCTTATGTTTATCTTTACTTACCCAGTAGTTCCATCTTCACTCTTTAAAGTATTTGATTTCGTGAGTTACAAAGCCTGACTCATAATCTAATGCATATACAAGAACTACTAGGTAATTGAGTTGTGTATTTTGATCCCCCCCCCCGTAGACTGTACCAAGTTTGTCACTAAATGAATAATAACTATCCAGCAGAACATGTGATCACTGTTACCTTTGGTAACTGGTTGACGGATGATTATTATTATGAATGGTTTATACCTTGGTGATGTTCAAATCATAAAGTTTTCTTAGTTGTAACCATTTTGAAATATGGCATTAATATACACGTGTGTAAATTCCTTTTTTTACCCTTAAGGCGTTTTCAGCCAACTGTCAAGGTTCCAGACACACGAGGATGTTGCATAGCTAGTGTGGTGCGTAATCAATGCAAAGGCATGAAATATTTATGTGGTGCTATAGCAAAAAGTATTTTTGTCATGGAATGGTATAATCCAAGGAATACATTTATTGAAGTTAAACGAGTAAGTCTCATATATCTATAAATGCTGTCAATTTGAATCTTTTTTTTTCTATGCCCTTTTTATTTCAGGCATCGTTAACAGAGAGAGAGTCACTGGTATAGTCATCTAAATGTGATTAGCAGATGAATAACCTAAAGCTTACGTCATTGCTTTGAATCTGCTATCTTCTAGAACAATATAAGTAAGAAAAAGAAAGCGCTAGAGATTAATCTCTTCTTCAGCCCTATGATCTCAAGATAAAGATTGAATGCGGTTTTTGCTGGATGATGGCGTAGTGCTTACCAGCCATATTGAAAGTTCGGGTTCAAATTCCGGCCAACACACTCTTAAACGTCACTTAACCGATAGCACGCCCTTGAGAAAACAGGTTTGCAAGCCCACCCAGTCAAAAAAAGCACCAGTGCTAATGAGGCTTCAAAGCCTAAAGCCCTATGTTCCACTCGGTACAGAAGGAATAAAGAAAAATGGTTGATCGTAATAGGTTTTCATATGTGTCATTCCATTTTCTCAACCTATAGCGCTCCATGTGTCTGAAGTTATATAAACATAAACCTAATTGATTTTGTAATTTTCCTACTGCTTGATGTCGTTTATCCTCCTTCTAAACTCGTTTACACATAGAAAAGCCTTACACTTATTATTTTCCACAGGCGAGTATATTGGCTAGTGCTTGTCTATTAGCTTATAATCCTATCTTAGCACTACTCACCGGCATCTTGTACTACTTGTACAAACTCTTAAAAATGATTAGTTGTAAACATAAGGGGGGGTAATTTTCGTCTTATCTGTGTTGTTTAAGGTTAATTCGTTGCAGTTTTCTTACAACTTTCTCGATTATTCATCTGACTAAAACGCTTTCACATGATAGTTTATCCAAGAGGAGAAAACTTCCAAATCAGTAGTTTTCACAGTCCTTAACAGATGTATTTTGTTATTAAAGTGTTGGTTTGTAGGGATTTGGTTGGTTACAGGATTTCATCATCAGCTGACATCAGTTAGAGAACCATTGGAAAACCTGGGACAACTGTTTCGTCCTAGTTTGGGTCTCTTCATCAGTACGCACACACCGACCAGGGTTTCGACCCAGGACCTTCTGGTTACAAGGCGAGCTAACTCGTAGACCGTAAAGCCAGTGTGACCCTATCCAATGACCAGCCCATACATTGTAACTTCTGCCAATTCACGACATAGCGCGACCCCCACCCAGTGTCTTCGGCGATTATTTGTCCTCACACCTGACCTGCTGCACCCTACTGGTCACGATGTATTTTGTATTGGTCTGTTATAGTCATCGGCTCACAGTGTATAATCATGATTCAGGATGTAAAAGTTGTATAGATTCCGGAAGGATGCACAGTAGCTAATTCATGTCTTAGCATTCAATAAGCTGTTTATTTGGAATAATCACTATATGTAGGTTGTATTAGGTTAATCGACATTTTAGGGGTTTTTCTGTATATGTCTGCTTAATTATTTTGTACTTTTAGATCTATGGAGTTATTTTGTTTACAATTAATTTTTTTTCTAATGCAATCGCAATGATAGGAATTCGATACATTCCTGGTCAGCTGTTGTAAAGTATTTAATACGTCCTGTCTACTTCTTTATTCCTTATGCAGCCAACAAATACACGTTGTCTGTTAAGTCAACAAATAAAGCATAATCTTATGATTTGTTTACTATCATTATTTTAATCTAAGTGCGCATAGGCTGAGAATGGAACAGAGCGATGATTATTATGCATGCCCGTGCTTTCTAATTCATTCAATTCTTTATTTTTTTCATATAACCACCATCTTTGAAAGATCGTAGTAATAAAAGTGTTGAAATGAATAAACAGACGAGGAGGGTAGACAAAAAATAAATTGACAGTCATTTTGTAGCCTTGAGTGTGATTCTTATGGCCGTTATTATCTGTCATCAGTTTATGTGTACAGCCTTCAGAAAACTGAAGGATTTGAGTATGCACCGAGAACTGTAAACCCCCTTTGGTACTTTTTTTAAAACACTTCTGCATTCTATATGCAACATAAGGTCTACAAGCTTGAGTTTTGAAGTTTCAGTTGTGGCGGCTTTTTTCACGAGATGAGGTAACGACAGAAGGCAAGAGTTGGTTGGCGATCGAGCCTGGATCACGTGCGTGATCTGCCGATACTCTACCATTGGTAGTACCACCTTTATCATTGGGATTACCATATTAGGTGCTTGCTGGCTAATGATTAGTAGTTTGATCGGTTGGAGGGCTTTATCATGAGCTGACATCAGTTAGAGAACCATTGGAAAACCTGGGAGTACTGGACAGCTGTTTCGTCAGCCTAGTTTGGGACTCTTCACCATTACGTACCCACCGCTGGAGTTTCGACCCAGTACCTTCTGGTTAAAAGGCGAGCTCGTAAACTATTAAGCCATTGGGACTCGATCCAATGACCAGTCCATGAATTCTAACTTCTGCCAATTCATGATATGGTGCGACCACTTCTCAATGTCTTCTTCGATGAGTTACTTACTGCCTCACCTTCAACCTGCTGTAACTTACTGGTCACAGTCATATGTTAAGTACTAAAAAGTCAATTTTGGTACCTTTCTTATCAAAATGTTTATTTATAATTTCTTTCTTTTAATAGTAAGAATGATGATAATAATAGTTATATAATTAAGTGCTTTATTCTTTGTAATCCATTCAGGTTGAAGTGCCAAATATGCCTAATCCATTGTTGAATTTTGATTTACTTATCAGTCCAGATCAAAATTTGCCTATTGTTTGTTTAGGCGTATCATCTACACCAGATCCCCTAGTTTATAAATTACATCTTGTGAATTTAAATGAAGACTCAAACGCTTCATGGTATACAAATCCTTGTCGTTGTAAGTTAATCTCTCTTATCAAATAATTTGTTGCATACTATTATTTATTTTTATATACAATGTTTTTTATTGAAAAAAAATACGTCAACACTGAAGAGTGCAGTTCTGCAAATATTTATAAACCTCGTTCAACAACTATATGATGATACCGCATACCAACCGATTCACAATAAGATAACTCAGTGAAGCCTTTGAAATGGAGATAGGAATAAAACAAGATTGCCTGCTACCATCGATGACATTCCTGGTTAAAGTGGACCATGAGAGTGATTATTATTTTTTTTTTTAATTCCTAGAGGAAAATAGGGATCCAGCCGCGCGTCTCCATTGCTTTCGGTTCTCTGCTAGAGTTTTCACCTGGCTCCAAGAATTTAAACTACAAGTAACGTTTTATTCCTTGTAGCTGATTGTCCTTATGAATAATATGCAGACATGTATCTGGTTTATTTCAAATAGTATAGTTTAACTTTCTTTAGAATTAGGAATTTCTGATTAACTTTCCCCCATGTTGGTTTTCTTTTCTGGAAAAAAAACTATTATAAATTCTTACAGATCATCAAGCTGTCGTTATTATTTACAATAATATTCAACACACTTTCATATTTTATTTTGCTTACCGCTTCTCTTATTTTGTATTTGCTTTTCAAATATTAGCTACTTTTGATGATTGCCATTATTGTCAGATGAGACTACTTGTGTGTATTTGTGTGTATGTATGTCCTATAGTATATATATATAACTAGTCTGTGAATTACATCCATCATAACTTCAACAAATTATCGCTTAGTCTGTATTGATTGAATTCTGTTCTGCCTTTGAATATGCATGTCTGTAGGTTGTCTGTGTATGTGCACACGTGATGAATGAATGCATATTTTACTCGTGTACATGTGTTTACACTCGCTAGTAGTGGTGTATGTATTCAACTGATTTGTGCAGTTGAATGTAGCCAGATTCAGTCAGTTAGCTGTACTGTTGTAGGTCATCATAAAGTACCTTTTTTGCCAATAATAATCAAAATATTCATTACAATAATAATAGTAATAATAAAAATAATCAGGACATCGGTACACTGTAATGCTTATCTGTATTATTATGACACTGATAGCGAACATTCTTTCGCTTCATATTCAAATTGTTATCAAGTGTTGATGTTAATATTGGGTTCCAAGCGCAACATAGGACTTCAACATCAAACCTCCATTTCATCCTGTTTGCTATAGTCATCTTTAGCTGGCTCCATGATTGCTAATAGACCCTCATCTCCTCCATGTCATCCTCTGACCTATGCCCAACCCTTTACTTTTCCCATTAGGGTACTACTCGATGTCCTGGCTCACGATGTCACTTGATGGTTTTCTCGGTTCGTGTCCGATCAATTTCCACTTATTATATTATTTCCTTTAATTCCTAGAGGAACATAGGGCTTCAGCCGCGCGTCTCCATTGCCTTCGGTTCTCTCCCAACTTTTTCACCCCGCTCCAAGTCTTCCCACACGCTTTCATCTCCTATTCACATCACCTCCTCCAAGTCACCCTTGCATTGACGACCAACTCGCCGCTTCGCTTTCGGGTTCCACTCGAGCAATGGCTTGTCTAATGATGCCACTTGATGGTTTCCTCAGACTATGACCAACCAATCCACCTCCATTTCTTCCTGCCTATTTGTCTCACAATCGGTTTCTGGTTGGTTCGCTCATTACCAGAGATCCCTGTTACTGATCTCTTCTGGCCGGCCATTTGATCTTGAGTATTGAGCGAAGACAGCTGTTAATGATGGTCTGTAGTTTGTTTGAGGTGCTCTGTATGACGCGCTGGCCAATTCTCTGATCCGTGTAGTAAGTGGCACTGACTGACTTCACATTGGAGTTGAAAATCCGGATCTTATTTTCATTTCCGTGGTGTGTAGTGCTGTTGACCTCCACACAGAATTGACGAGAGTAATGAAAGCTTGTCCTGCTTCCCCTATCCTCGCTCCTTTGATATCCTCGTCAGTTCCGTCCGCCTGTAGCTGAAACGATGTTTCCCAGTTGGGTGGGTAGATGAAGGAGGTTGTTTCTTTCAGGTTCCTCCCATTTATGCTGGCTCATTGTTGTTGCTGTTGGTGTTGGCCAGGAATCTTCATCACCTCTGTTTTCTCGATGTTCACCTGAAAGAAATCCTATCTTCTCAGGATGCTTCTTCTTCCAACTGGTTGCTTTTCCATTTACCTAGGCATATTTTTGAGTCATGTGTTCTTGGACGGTTCTTTCTCAGACTTCCTTGTTGCTAATCACTTCTGACCATCTGATCTTCGGTTTCTAGCCGGTGATGCCAGCTGTTGATAAAAAAAGTCTTAAGCCTGTCTGATATGGTTTTAGTGACGTATCAAGTCTCTGAGCCATACAGGATCACTTACTGGGCATTGCTATTGAAAATCCGAATCTTCTTCCTTATGTTGATTGCAGTAGACTTCCAGACTGATTTCACAGTAATGAAAGTCTATCCTACATTGCTGATCCAGGTTAACCCTTACATCTTCATCCATACTGCCTGAAGTTGAAAAGATACTGCCTAGATAAGTGAAAGGAATGACTTTCTTCAAAATTGATGGTGATTAGTATTGCTCGTAGTTGTTAAATCAAAATTTTCGAAAAGCTGAATCGATTGTATTGAAAAAGCAGTTTAGAAGTATAAATCTATTCAAAATTACAACAGAAATTTTGACATTCACATTCAGATAGTTGTGTAATTTTATCATTCATTATCTTCTGCATGTATATTGACATAGGTTTGTATGTATTTTTCAGCGTTTGTATTTACATTTGTAATAAACTTATTTCCTGTTTATAAGCTTGTTTGTCGTATATTTTAGGGTATAATTTTCTGTTTTGACTAATCGTAACTAGATATTAACTGGTGCGTATTCGGTGGCACAGTGGTAGAATGCTCACCGACTACGCATGTGTCCCTGCGTTTGATCCCCTGCCGACGCACTCCTTTACCTCCCTAAACCAGTAATAAGGCTGATAAAGAGGGAAGGTTAGGCATGAGGCTAACAACCCCATCCAGTAAAAATAAACACCACTGCTACCGAAAGTTCAAGCCTCCAGCTTGAAGCCCTATGTTCAACTGCGAATATAAAAAAGAGATTATAACTGCTACTGTATGCTTAGAGTTTGTTTCATTCAAATGATTATTGTCAAGTATATATATATATATATATAGTCATTTACCGACTCTGGTAGTGCGCATTCGTGACTACGCTAATTATCTGTACCCAAGGCCTTCAGATTACCAGCCGATCATGCACGTTTACCACTTAGCTAGTCGGTTAAAAACCACTCAGACATAAATTCTAATTCCTGTTAATTCACCATATGCTGACGACTGCTTCAGTCTAAGTAATTCTTCGCAACTGGTGTCAGTTTGTGATGTGACGCACATTGTTTCATATTAATAGCTCTATATAAATCTAACTTTTAAAGATAATTAACCCACTGCTAATCATTTGCTGTTTTCTCAATTCCTAATCGATTGCTTATTTCTTTACATTTGAAAGTAATCTACACTGTGAATGCAGATTATGATGCACACGTTGATTGGAAATTTTTCAGTCACTTCTTATCTTCTAGGTTAATTCACTTATTCACATCTAGTTTGATATTAAGGGTAGTATATTTGATAATCTGATATAATCACATTATAGATAAGATTTTACTTTGATAAATCACAGTGTTATACAGGAATATTAACTTTTGACGTTTCCAGCACAAATTACTGCTGCTCATAATCATATCAAGCTACTCATACAACTTTTTACTTCATTTACATACATGTGCGGAATTGATTAGACATTTGAATAAAAATCAATATAGGATAATGTACATTCATAAATAATAATATGAGTGTTGTTGATCAAATACAATCAGATGGGAAATAAGACGAGTGTTTTGATAGTCAAAATAAGTAACTTGTTAGAATGTTGTGATGTACTTGAATTGAAATAGAATTTTAAGATTATTTATTATCCTCCTCTGATTTGACTGACTGGTGGTAATAATATCTTCCATATTTCTGGTATTTGCATTGAGTCGTTTCTGTTGCATGTGTTGGGTGTAGACTCGATGAACCAGGCAGGATTCAATATTCAATCTCTCTCTCCACCTCCCTATATTACTTCTTAGAAATTTGACTCCGTCCCACCCTATTGTGTGGTTGTGTGTTAATGCATGCAGTGGGATTGCTGAGTTTTTTTTCTAAATTACTTATCTTTGTGGGTTCAGTTATTCTAACCTTGGCTAAATGCTTATGTTCTGATGATCTCACTACTCCTGGTCTACTAGTTCGACCTATGTAGTTCACTTAACTGACACTCATTGCAGGGTATTTTGTAAATTATGTTATTTTGTTTAATTGGCTCCATCGGGTTTTTAGCCTACAGAGTTTGTCCTTTGATATAAGAATAAAACTTGGGCACTGTAGTAGAGTATAACTCCATTCTAGATAAGATAAAATAAAACCTTATCTATAATAGAGTTTGTCTCTGAGTTAATTTGTAGGTTTGAATGGCACCCTAATTCCTGCCTTATTAAGTATCCTACGTAGGGCCTCAGATGTCCCTTCCTTATATTGTATAACAGCAGATACCTTATATCCTCTCTTATTTATGTTATCATTATTAGTTTCACCATCATTTTTATTTTGTTTTTGACCTTTTCTGATATTCAACATGTAAACGATAAAATGAAACAGATAGAAGAGGCGTTGGTCCAAATTCATTACTCACTGGTTGCAAGTCGAGTACCTAGGTAGCATAAACCACAGACAGCTCTAGATAAGTTTGTTTCGCTATAACATAGCAATTAACTGGTATTTTTTACACCCAGCTTTTTAATAACACTCCAATCCGTTTACATACTTACATTTTTGCCCTATCTCATGGTTGTTGGCGTAATAGTACTTAAAGCTTCACCAACCCACCTACCTACGAGTTTGTATTTTATGCCTAAAATAAACGTTACTAGTGCGTCGGTGGCACAGTGGTTAGGACTCTCGCCGACCATGCACATGGTCCGGGGTTCGAGCCCACGCCGGCGCACACCTGATATCTATGGTCGGCCTGCAAAATTTGGGCTACCGATATCCATGCTGAAAATTCCATACTTGTACCAAAAATACGGTGTGGAATCAAGCTGTAAATCAAAAAAAAAATAGTTGTTTGAGTACTGATTCAGACTCACTGAAACTTTAGAGACTCAAGCATACAATAACAACCAGCTGTACTCCCCACACTTTATTTTTCTGCAATTCTTTTGTTAACTGATACATTTGTTCCGTTGTAATGCATATTACACTAATGTAAACCATACTTTTTTTTCTCACACGTAGCTGAATGATTTTCTTCTCCTATATTATTTTTTATTATAGCTGAAGATAAACTACAAGTGATTAAGGTTGTACAGTTGGATACACGTTCATTATTGATTTGCTTCCCAAGTAAGTCAGTTTACTATTATTATTTTTTTTATTTTGTAAGCCGACTGACGTGTTGAAATGTTTTCAACAATTTTTCTAAAGCCCTTTATATTTTTATCTTTTTATAGTAAATAGGTATTAATAATAATACTTAATGATTTCTCTTTAAAAAAAAGTTGAATTTTCATTGACATTCGTGAACTATCTGCCTTCCAGCACAGATATTTGTGCTCTATCTACCGCGTTAAGTGGCATAATATAGTGAGGTTAGGCGTAGAATATCCGCTAAGGAGGGCAAGTCAGTAGGTCAGATTGTGAAGTTAAGGTGGCTACGATACGTGTTACAACTCATACTTAACCACCGCCTTACTGGATCAGCAATGTTGTTTAACATAAGGAGTAGGTTGGAAAAGGCTTTGGGATGATCATGCCGAAACCTAGCATCAGTCTATGAAGTGTTTGACTGTTGGTTTGATCCACGAAGAGTGGTACAAACTACCTGTGTGTGGGGTCCTCGAGGTGCTAAGAACCAATGTCCGGAGATGATATGGCTCAAAATTTCCCCTTCAGTGATGCAGACGCATTCTTTGTGATCACCCATATCTACTAAACGGTCACGGTTTGCTATTCTTTTTCCCTTATATATGTTCTTTTGTACCTCTTATTTTCTCTCTTTTGTCTACCTTTGTATGCTACATGGAGTAAGGCAACTTGAACTTCTGTGCAAAGTTCTACTTTGAACCTCAGTCATTTCTGGTCCACCTTGTCATTCAACGTTTACAGGTTTAAATATTTCTTCTTCTAAACTGCAAGTTGAGCAAATATTTCAGCACTATGTTCTATTAGATGGTTGGAGGCAATCGGCAGGAAGTCATGGACCTATGTTTCGTGCTAGTTGGCACTCACTAGTCAGCAAGGCGTATCTGCAATCTTGAAGGAACTCATGTCCCTTTTGATATTTGAACCCGCGTCACCCAGTGTCGCCTGCAGTCAGAGACGTTACCAACGAGCTATTCAGGCTCGCGATTGACCTCCTGTAGGATTGTATTGGATATTTTTGATTGGACACTAGTTACTGACTAGTGTGCTATCAAAAATAGTACTATGTTCTCAACAGCAATATTTTATTTCAAGTGCACGATATTTCAGTGTTTCGAAATAAAAAGTACGGTTATTAGAAGAGTCGGGACCGGATAAATAAGCTTTCAAACCGGTATATTCAAGTTGTTCAATAAGTTCTTTATAAAGGGAACCGGCCAAAAAATGGTTGTAATACATGTGAATTTCTTATGTTGAATACAGCAGTGTATTTAACTATTGGTTTCTGTCAATAGCCCGTTTTCGTTTACATATATTTATCTCATGCAGTTGATTCCCTTGATAAATTTCGATAGAGAAATGAAGAAAAAATTTGCAGTATAAAATGATATCATTCTATTTCACAGATTCTCATCAGCTGCAGACTGCCTGCAATTACAATGATTTATATAGGTGATAATAACATACTTTATTGTTTAAGTGGTAGTAGAGAAGAAATACTATAGAACAGACGCACTCAAAATGTAAGCATTAAAATTTTTAGTTTAAGTTTTCATCATCAATTTATACGCTTAGACAAAAAATTATAATGCTTACATTTTGAATGCGTCAATTCTATAGTATTTCCTCGCTACTACCACTTAAACAATAAAGTATGCTATTATAATCTATATAATCATTGTGATTTCATGTAGTCTGCAGCTGATGAGAACCTGTGAAATTGAATGATATCATTTTATACTGCAAATTTCGTTTTCCTTTCTTTATCGAAATATATTTATTTATTGATTACAAGAAAACTGTTTTATATAATCGTAATGTGATATATATATAGTGAGGACGGGAGTGAGGCAAGGTTGTCTACTATTGCCGATGATTTTCCTTATTGCAGTAGATTGGATAATGTGACAGACAACGGGCAATCAGGAAACAGGCATAAAATGAACTCACACAAAAAACTTGGAGGATCTGGACTTCGCCGATGATGATATATGTCTGATTTCCCACAAACAGGAAGATATGCAATTGAAAAGCAACAAGTTGGCGATAGAAGAAGCATCCAGAGAAGATAGGACTTCCTTCAGGTGAACATCGAGAAAATAGAGGTGATGAAGATTCCTGGTCAACACCAACAGCAACAACAACAACTGACAACAATCAGCCAGCATAAATGGGAGGAACCTGAAACAAACAACCTCCCTCACCTACCTACCTGGGGAGCATCTTTTCAACTACAGGCGGACAGAACTGACGAGGATATCAAAGGAGCGAGGATCGGGAAAGCAAGACAGGCTTTCACTACTCACGTCAAGTCTGTGTGGAGGTCAACAGCACTACACACCACGGAAATGAAAATAAGATCCGGATTTTCAACACCAATGTGAAGTCAGTCAGTGCCACTTACTATACGGATCAGAGAATTGGCCAGCGCGTCATACAGAGCATCTCAAACAAACTACAGACCTTGAATAACAGTTGTCTTCGCTCAATACTCAAGATCAGATGGCCGGCCAGAAGAGATCAGCAACAGGGATCTCTGGTAATGAGCGAACCAACCAGGAACCGATTGTGAGACAAATAGGCAGGAAGAAATGGAGGTGGATTGGTTGACCATAGTCTGAGGAAACCATCAAGTGGCATCACTAGACAAGCCATTGCTCGAGTGGAACCCGAAAGCGAAGCGGCGAGTTGGTCGTCAGTGCAAGGGTGACTTGGAGGAGGTCATGCGAAGAGGAGATGAAAGCGTGTGGGAAGACTTGGAGCGGGGTGAAAAAGTTGGCAGAGAACCGATCGCAGTAGAGACACGCGACTGGAGCCATATGTTCCTCTAAGAATGAAAGGATATAATAATAATATATTGCTAAAGCATCCCAGATCAGAGCCTCAATGATTCTCAATTTGATGTGTTGTTCGTGTTTGGAAGGTCGACTTTTAGAGTATAAATATATTAACTTTTTACTAGGCTACTTCTCTACAGATCGTCAAGTGTTTATTAGTCGTTGCGTTATCCTACCATCACTGACATTTAATATTTTGTATAATATGAATGTGTATGTGTGTTTTATTTGGTTTATTCATACCATGTCTAGTGTTTAATTATATAATAGTATGATAAAAAAAAACACCATGTGGATTAGTATACCGTGTTATTGTCTAATCAAAATTTAATGATCTTATTCATTCAATGGTGTGTTTTTTCTGTGCTATATTGCCTGCATGTGTGCATATATTAGATTATACTCCATTTTTTAATATAAAATTTAGCTCATGCTACAATGGTCAATATGAATGGACGTGTGCTAGTAAGTAGAGATGGTCGTATAGCCAAATTTCCATTCGATACAACAGTTGACTCTATTGGTACGTTGTAATGCAATGCTTAATGTAAACCAGTTTCTTTTTTATATCATATATAACTTTTTTTATAATAATAATAATTGAATCACTTGGACAGTGGCTCAATGGTTTACGAGCTCGCCTTGTGACCAGGTCCTCGGTTCGAACCCCGGTGGGTGTGTACTGATGAAGAGTCCCAAACTAGGACGAAACAGGTGTCCAGTACTCTCAGGTTTTCCACTGGTTCTCTAACTGATGTCAGCTCATGATGAAATCCTCCATTCAGTAATGATTGAATTAAAGTAAAATCGTTAAGATGTTAATGTCCCTTTGATTGCTAGAGGTTTCACAAACGCCTTGATATTGCAGTACCGAATCCCATAATGTATTGTATTTTTTTCTAGATGTAACGTATATTGCGGTCACTTTCTACCTATGCAGAATGTCGTTTACCTTACAGTTTATATGCCTTTCCGAGATGAGGATGTGAGGCGACTCTGCGTGTTCGATCACCGCTGTCTCCACAGGATTGCTTGCGTTCGATGGCATCATCGCGTGAGTAATTCTGAGGTTCGGCGGCGTGTGTTTGAACACAGTGGAGATCACCATTCATTGAGTGTCGTCATCTGGAAACACCGGCTCCGGTGGCTTGGACATGTGCTCCGAATGTCATCCCAGAGGCTTCCGTACAGGTCTCTGTTCGCTAGCCTTGGGACGGAATGGAAAAGGCGGAGAGGTTCAGTCCATGACGTGGCGTCGTGGGATGAAGGATTTTTGTGGTAGATTAGCATCGGTTGGTGTGTCACGACTCCCTGGTTGGGGTCCGAGAGATAGCTGGAATCGATGGCTCGAGACATTATCGGATATGGCCAAGAATCGTAATCAATGGTGAACGTGTTGGAATTTCCTTCTTTCTTCCCTTCACGATGATAGTTAACGAATACTGTTTGAACTTGTTAAGCATGACTGTCTTCCTTCCAGATGAAGTTCTTTATCCGTTCTCTACTTATATGTATTTTTTTTCTTTTCCTTCCTTTCTTTTCTTTTTGACCTATGTTGTTTTATTATTATTGTGTGGCGCATCCTTCTTGGTGCCATATTGTACCAAGTTTTTTATGCGTTTAAATAAAATAAAATAATGTGATGCGACACATACAACTATTGTGATGTACATTCTACAAGTGTGTTTCAAACCACTAAGTAATTACCCTTAGCATAGAATGGAAAACCTACTTCCCAATTATATACACACTCTCTAAATCATATAAGAATTCTCTGTATTATTCGTTAAGTATCTCATCAACTTTTGAATATTACCAAGTCCTTACTTGGCTGTCTGGAGGTATTATTTGCGCTCCATCCCCAGCGTTATGTGGTATAATATGGTGAGTCATATTAATAATGGTAGGCGTAGAGTGTTAGATAAGAAGGGCAAGTTAATCGATATGATTGTGAAACTGCATCGATTGAGATGGCTAACACACGTATTATTAAGCCACCTCTTTACTCGTTAAGTAATTGTAGCTGACATAGGATTAATTTTGAAAAGAGTTAAAGACGGTGGAATCAAAACCTGATAATAATCCACGAAGGCTTCGACTGTTGGTTTGAGCTAAGTAGGGAGGTGTAAACTGTCCGGTTAAGGACTTTAGTATTTTTGCTAAGAACAAAATGACTTGAGACTGCTGTGCATATGTACAGCTGTATTCACGCTTTGTAATCTGCCAGACTCATTCAGCTCTCATATTTTTTCCATGTAGTTTTTCTTTCTTTCTCCTGTACATTCCTACTTCTTACAGTTGCTTTGAATTTCTTTTTCTTTACGTCTGTGTGCTGTATGGTGTGTGACATCTTAAACTGTTGCACTTCTGTGCAAAGTCCTGTGGTGAAACTCGTCAGTTAGCCAGTGTCTGCAAGCATGATAAATATGGAGTGTAACTTATAGATATCTTATTCAGAATCTTTAAAAAAGCAAGGCGTTTAATGAAATTAATATATACTGTTTTGAATATTCTAACTAGCCTATATGGTCGAGTCTGTCACAGAGTAAAATGAAGATTGTAATAGTTTGGAAAAACATTCACCTTTGATTGAATGACAATTAATTGCACGATTGAAAATCGTTAGATCTGATGGGCTTAAATTCCATTTCATAAACGTCATTTATGTTTCTCCAACTGATGTAAAAACAGTATGCATCACTGCCTGGCTTTCTTTCTAATCACTTTAATTTCTTCTTACTCCTGAGGTATGAGATTTGCTTATTTGACTAGTTCATTTCGAAGTGTTTAAAAATGCCTATTAAAATTTTCAAAAGAATGGTTACTGAACAAATAGAATATTTTTTCGATAATGCCTTCTTGACCATCAGATTCTACAGTTATGTATACATAATAGTCAATAGTTTGGCGTTATTAACACCATGAATGATGTTTACATAACATCGAATCAATAGTAACAATATCAATGGATTACAGTTCGATAGCATTAACATAACAATATACACTGAACATCAGAGAAATTAGAAAAAAGTAATCCAAAATCATGAATTTATAGAGTCTCCACTGAAGGCCGTTCAAGGCTGATGAATGAAGTTATTGAAAAGAATATTCTTTGTTCAATAACCATTCTTTTGATAATTCACTTTATGACTGCTATTCTATAGAAATAATACCGACAGCTTCTTTTCTGATCTTCAAATTAGATTAATGAAATTACCATACACTTTTTTTTATTATAGCCATTTTATTGATTGGCTTTGTTTTATCATTTGTATTAAAACTTCCACATGACTGATGATAACTAAACACAAGACTGTAAAATCTTACTATGTTCGTTGTAAAAGTATATGACGTTAAAACGATTTATAGGTTGTGTATAGTTCATCTAGCTGGAAGCTGTTGCTTTTTTCATGCGTCCAATGACATATTTAAATCAGTCAATTCCTTGTGTACATTTTTAAATACACTATACTTTAGCAGTTCCAAGTTTGTTCATTCACGTCACACTTCATTGTGATTGCTTTAAGATAACTTTTTTTATATAGACCTCAATAATATTTTCTTTGACGACTTCGATTTCCTATTTTTTTTTAACCTCTCTTTCTCCACCCATAGTTCGACTGCCTGATAGCGTACTTGCTTTCCATACTCATGGCTTAAGAGGAATAGATTTCGCTGGCAGGGTAAGTATTCTTGATCTTAAAAGAATTTTAATATATTATATGACAAATACAAATTATTCGCGTCGATTTGAAATTCCACCAGAAATTATTTGCTGAAACTTCATTAATATCACCTTGGTTACATGTACATCTGATATTCTGGGGACTTTTTCTCTATCTAACCTTCTGTAGACAAACATTTCAACCTTTAGTAAAACATCACGTCTCATATCTACCTCATACATGAAGTCGTGTGTAGAAATGTAATATAACTTAGTGCTTTGTCAATTTCTTATTTATACGAAGATGTTTGTGCTACAGTTACTAAAGATATATGGGGATCCGTACAGTTCTCACTCGTTTGAAATAATCACATACTTCATATTTCAAATTACCATATTTGTTAAAACTCCAGAATTGTATTCAATTGAGAGAGGCAGTGTAACGTGAATACGATTTTTCTTAAATGTCAAGGTTTTATATGAAACCGACATTCTCTGTCGACTGCCAGTTGTTTTTATAGAGAACCTTTACTGTTTTTTTTCTTTACTTTGAAATTACCAAAACTAAATATCAGTTTAACTTCATGGTCTTAGATACTAACGTACATTCTCCTCCAGCTACATTCATCAATTCCATATGTCTTGAACAAAACTACTTTAGTAAGCATCCCCTTACTCCTATCAAAAATAGGAATACCGTGGTTAGTTGTTAAGATCTGAATTATCATTCTTTTTTTGCCTATCATCGTATTTTCTGTCTAACAGAGTACAGCAGAGGAGTTATGCTGATTACATTAAAGGAGGAGAAATCAATCGACGAGGCTGTGAAATTACATCGACTGAGATGGTTAGGACACGTGTTACGAACGCCTAGTCATCGCTTTCCTCGACAATGGGCAATGTTAGCTGACATAGGATTGGTCAGGCTGGAAAGAGCTAGCTGCGGTCAAACCAAAACATGGCACCAGTCAATGAAATCCACAACATTTAGTTTAAGTCACGTAGGAAGGTGTAGGCTTCCTGGTTGGGGTCCTCGGGACGGTAAAAACCAATGGTTGGAAACAATTGGTGATATTGGCTCAAAATCGTTCTCGGCGATGGGGCAGATGCATACACTCCTTGTGACTTATAATTTCCAATAAAACTATATTGTTCTTCGTTACTACTATTCCTTTGTCTCACACCTGTGTTTACTGTCTCTATTATGCATTTCTTCTGTTGCTTTGTGTGGTACATGGAGTGTGGCGACTTGAACTGCCGCACAAATGTGCAAAGTTCTATGTCGAAAAGAGACAGACAGACATTTAAGAGTTAAAGAAGAATTTAATGTGGTATGGTAGCATACAATCCAATGGCGTACAGTGTTCGAACAAGGTCTTGTTAAGATAAATCAAGTTTTAATAAAAATCCAGAATTTCAATTCTACTCATTTGTCTAACAAAGTAGTATCACGGAAGTCCTGCTGTATTGCATAACCTGAAAAAAACAGTCACGATGAAATATACTAATGCGTTTGTATCTCTCTATATATTCATTCTTTCTTTTTCTAGACTACACAAGATATTGATGACGATAAACACGTCTACCGACTTCTTGGAAGTGATCGGTAAGTCTGTCGTCTGTAAGCATTAAATTGTTTTTGTGGTGAAACTCTTAAAACTTCACAAACACTAATTATAGCATAACTGTACTCCAAAGTGGATGTGCAAAATAAAGTTTCATGTCTAAGTGGTTGTCATCCCTTTGTTGATCGCAATCGAACATCTCTCTCTATAGACCAAAGCACCACATGCAGTGCTAATAATTAAGTGTTTTTAAGTATACAGTTTGAATACCAACCTTTACAATCCTGGTAAGACATGGTGCTTCTTGTTAATAATAGTGTATAATACTTTACGAACTGAAGATAATTTCGATCTTTGAATATTATCCACTTTTTAATATCATTCACTGTTTTTTTATCTTGGCTTATTTTTTATCCATCCAGAAACATCGTTGTTGAAAGCAGACCAAGTGATGATCCAATGTCTAACTCAAACCTTCTCATTCTTGTTGGACATGAAGACTCATCTTGATCCACAGTATTTAGTGACACAACTTCAAACATCTGTATTTTTAGATATGAATTATTTATACTCGTCAATATGGCGCTTAAAACAACTAGCTATCATTTCTTTACTATGGTCAGCTGATAAATAATGAACTGAAATATCCTCCGTTGAATATATGAGCGGTCGGTTCGTTTTTATAATTTGCAATACTTTTAAATGATATTTATTACAAACACAGAAATGCACACAATTTGACGACGTTTGAGGGAAAGCGAACCCTTTCTGACTGATTTATTAATGCTTATTTCGTTTATTACTTTATTTTGTGTTTAATTTTAATTTATTTCTTTGTTCTTTCTTTAAAATATCTTCAGTGTTGATTACTTTTGTCAATCATAACTTGTGGAAACTTGTACAGCCCCTTGCCTTAAAAGTGTGTATTTTCAATCAACACTTTACTCACTTATACTCGAATTCATTCAACTTATAACTTGTGCTTTCAGAAACTAATAATGAGCCTTGTTTCTGCAACTTTATTTATCTTATTTCTGTGTCTACACTTACTGGAGACAGATTTTAAATTACAGTAACCATTCCCCCAGCGAATTAAACGTAATACTGGTGACTCAGTTAGTGATAGGATTTAGCTTGGAAGAATGCTGACTACCATGAAACAGTCTAGGGATATATGTAGTAAGAGACTGTTTGAAATAAATAATTGCAAAGTATAACAACAAATTGAAAGCTGACACAATCAAGGAGGACAGTATATTTACCTAATGAGTTTTGTATTCACATCGACTTCATCAATAGGTCGAACACTCATTAATCAAGCCATAAGCTTAACTCCCACATTTTCATGCTATTTTTCGTATCAGATGAAATATTTGCCAATCCTCATCTTGTCGCTTTAACTTAGGAACGACTTTTTTTTACCAAAAATGCATATTTCCCATTGCAGCTATTTCAAGTGTGTAAATGCTCTCCATGGAATCACAAAAACCTCCATATTGTCGCGTATCTAAATCGTCTTAAATGTGCTTCATAAAATGAATAAGAAAGCACTGTGTACTTGTGGCTTTCGGAGTATATAGAGGATGTTACGGGCAATAAATAGACGTAAATACGTGTGAGTAACTCTCTAGTACAGAAGATCATGTAACCTGTTTTTGTTAGCCTGTTATAATGAAAAAGGGGAATAGTTGATTAGTTCACTGGTATATCCTTCCAGTTCAAGGTAAATGTACTTACCAGACGGTTCTATTTTTTACGTTTCATTAATGTAAAGTCAAACACAACGTGGTTTACCAGCTGTAGCACTTAATTTTCAACTAGTAACCTGGATTACTGCTTTACCTGCATCAGCTTAGGGTTCCTCATAAATTTGATTTATGGCCTGGTACATAAGCCTCTCGCGAGTATCTAAATTCTAACCAAATTAAACCATACATGCCCTATTTCGCCAGAATTCTTAGGCTCTTGAGCTTTTATAGGTGCAGATGAAAAAGCGTACGTAACGACACAACAAATTCCACACCAACAGAATCTCACACATGCAGTGACTGAATGTATACTCACTAGTACGTATCAGCTATAAAAGAAGCTTTAAGATTCGAACAGTCATATCAGAGTACAATCTGGTCAAGACATTTTCCGCAGTCTTCTAGTAGGAAACTACCGTAATTCACTATCGTGCCAGTCTCTGATGATTAATAAAGTACAAACAACCATAGGACGAACTCCTGCAGACCAGTGAAATATTTATCATTATACCAAGTTATTTGAACATAGTTACATTCTAAATACCATAATAACCTCATCCTATATGTTGAAGATATCACGAAGAGGGATTAGGTACATGCATCTTGAAGGTAACTAATCTAGGGTAAATATTAACCCACTTCCCCTACTTCAGCATGTGTAACTATGTAGCAAGAGTCCAAGCCATCACAACTTAGTGAATCAAAGTATGTCATGTAACAGAATTATGTCAATACTTTGATGGGAGTCTGAGTAAATGAATTTCTGCCAACCGTCCTGGCGGTAATCCACATTTATTAGTATTATATTAGATCTGTTGATAATACAAACTAAAACTACTTGCAGTCACTGGGTATGACTAAGTGTCAACAAATCACACTGGGTTAATCATATTGCTCAAGACTGAATACCCTCTGAAAGCAGGAAGTCAGTACCCAATGGAGAATCCAGAGGTTAATTAGTAGTAGAAATCCTTTGTTTTTATAAACTCGTGGGGGAATTCGTCGTTCGAGATGAAGTATCAAATAGTTTCGAAAAACACCAGTCTTGAGTTGGAACAGACAAACAATCCAGGCAGACGTTAAGACTCAAAATAGAATAGGGAATGCAGAAAATGCATGCACTCGGTCAGCATATAAATGTAATTCAAATCAATGCTATAAATGTGAAAATACACATTAATACTGACCAGCTGTAAAATGAGATGAGATACACGCATGATTAGAGGTCCTTCGCTTTGACAGACATTAACACGATAGAATGACACCGCGTGTTACATCAAGTAAACTTCCCTAGCATAGAAGTTGATTTGCCCATCTCTCTGTAAAAGCGAAAATGCGACTACATTCATGAAGGTACAGTGACTACACAGCCTTGTATAAGTTAATTACTCAAGTTAACTGAGATTACTCTTGAACTCTCTAAATATATATTCCACTCTGCTACTTCAGAGTTCAGCAGTGGTAAACCTAACACTTGTGACTATGGTTACTTGCCGTAAGTGATGCTCTTCACTTTATGCAGTGAAATTCTCGCGAGATATTTATTTCATAATAGTGAAGCAACTATGTCCGGTGCTTTGTGTAGTTGGACTGATAACCACACTTTTACCACATCAAAATCACTGAAACTTTCCAAAATCGCAACCACAAAGTATTCTAATACAGTTCGATTATCGTCTCAGTCTGCACATGTCAACAGCAAGCACTTGAAGGTTTTCCCAGAGAGTAGAGTTAATTTGAGTGAAATCATTTAGAAACGCAAAAGAAAACAATTCCAGCTATAACAATGTAATTATAATGGCAATGACAATCATTATAATTGGAGTTGACTTCGAGAAGTGATATATGAACGGAAGTAAAAATAAAGTGGAGGCGTATCTATTTTCGAATATCGAAACTATGATATTGCAATTGGGAAATCTTCTTTTCATTTTTGAATTCACATCTCTCAATGTGAGACTTCGGACTTCCAACTTCACGTAGCCAGTGTTTGCTAATCAATTTGACTGAGGATAGATGAATCGCGAACCTACAATGCATCTGCCTTCCCGGTGGGACCTTGGAATTCACCCACTACTGTACCTTTTTCCGTATTCATAACCCAACCAACAAGGCCATTCTGTTTCGCGAACTCTGAAGCATGCTAAATACATGTGTTAGTTTTAGAAACGACAGACCTTCCGGAAGAAGACTCCTATTTAACAATTATCAGTTTATATATTGCCTACCTTGAACTTTGCCGTAAACCTCAAAAGAACAACCCACCAAGTTGCCCGCCATTTATATAGCCGCTAAGACTAAGGAGACGGGAAATTCAATGTCCAACGTGTCCCTGCTGTGGTTGCATAAGTCTGGTGATTTTTCGGTCATCTTTTCTTCATAAAACATAGTGTCTTCAGTTCTTCGGCGTATTATTTCGCAGCATATCTATCCACTCACGTAATGCATGATGCCAGAGCAGAGTTCCAATATCCTGATTACGAGCTAGTATAAACCAGTGATTTCTTTGAGCTCGCTTCTTCATTGTGAGGTAGAGGTTCCAGATCTTCGGTGAGCTTCTGCGTAGTAAGTCTCACCACCCTACTGCTTTAGCTCTGGTGGACTCCAAGTGGAGTGGTGCGGGGATTGGTCAAGATGTGGTTTGTAGTATGCAGTATGTTAGGACTGTGTTGCTGCCGTGAATGGAGTTTGACCTAACTCCCGTTGGTCATTCGGTGTAGTCATAAAAGCAGAAAAGTAATAATAATAATAGGTTGTAATGTGGATAATATGGGTTGAGATAAGTGAAATAGTAAAGGTGACCTAAGGAAAAGATAGAGTAGTCGGTACAGTGAGATAAGGCAGAACAGGTCGTGGGGATTTAGTTTGTATGCTTGTCCATTGACAGTTTGGTTTTAAGTTTTATGAGGATAAGCCATTGAGACACAAACCTTGCATTTCTGTATGATTGTCCAGTTTCCGCTTAAAAATCTCCACAGATGGCGCTGTAGACTCGGCCGCCGGTAAGGCGTTCCAGAGACGGCAAACTCGAAGCGAAAGGAAGTGTGTGCGCACTCGAGACTTTGGCCTCTGGTGTGCTATCCTTAGTGGGTTACCTCGTGGAAGCCTATAATCACTTAATGGCAGGATGCTTTAATTTGGGTGGGCCTGGTCATTTAAGATCTGGTAAACGGTGATGAGGTCTCCCCTGTGCCTACGGTAACTAAGTGTGAAAAGACCTAATTTCTTTAGTCTTTCCTCGAATGATTTGTTGCGGAGGCCGATCATCCATTTTGTCGCTCGTCTCTGGACACTTTCTAGAATGTTAGCATCCCTTTTGAGCAGTGGAGGGGCAATGATATTATGCACCTCAAGGTGCGGCCTCGCATATGTCTTATATAACCTTAAGAACAGTTCGGGAGTAAGAGCTCCCAGCTGCCTATGCATAAAGTGTAAATTTGCGTAGGCTTTGGCGACGTCACTCGTGTAATTTCCACTTGTGTCTAGCTTTTCTGTTAGAATAAGACCTAGATCGCGCTCTGATGGGACACAACTCAAGTTCTTGCCACCAAGGGTGTAATTTACACTCTGTGATCTGCCTGAATGAAGTTGCATTATTTTGCACTTCTTTATGTTGAAAGGCATTCCGTTAGCCAGAGCCCAGTCTCCCAGAGTTTACAGGTCAGCCTGCAATCTATCTGAGTCCTCCGATGAGTTTATTGCTCTCCAAATCTTTACGTCGTGAGGCTAAATAAGCGCAGAGAAGTTCAGTTTGGAGGGCAGGTCGTCGATAAAAATAAAAAACATCAACGGACCTAGGATAGAACCCTGAGGAACCCCTGATGCCGAGGTGTGCCAGGATGATCGGATGCGGTTGACTTTGGTGCGGAATTCTCTCTCGCCTAATCTAATCTTTCAGTCATGCGGGAAGTGCTCCAGAAACACCCGCCTTGCTTATTTTGTGAAGGAGCAGAACTATGTCGAAGGCTTTCGCAAAGTCGAGAAAGATCACGTGGGCTGGTACCTTTTCGTCCCAGGATAGTGTCCAATCGTTCCAAGCTAGTAGAAGATTCGTCACGCAGGATCTTTCCCTCCTGAAACCGTGCTGTGCTTCGTGGAGAAGGTTAGTCCCGTCGAAGTATTTTCTCATGTGATCGTCAATGAGACTTTCCAATATTTTCGATATCACTGGAAGTAGAGCAACTGGTCTGTAACTGGTCGAATTCTGCCGGTCACCACTTTTGAAGATAGGGGATAGGATTGCTCTTTTCCATTCACATGGAAGTTTACCTACATCAAGGGAGTGTTGGAACAGATCACTTAGGGTGTCAGCCACGTCTCGTAAACCGTTAATGCCCAGCTCTTGCTACGCTCGGGCTCACGCTGTCGCTTGAAGTTTCTCAGAAACGCTTAGTAATAACGGACGAAAAAACCAAAACACCAATTGTTGACTCGAGGATTCTTTATTGTTACACCAACATATAAATTACGTATGACTAAGGTCTGTGAACAAATATTACAATAATAAATCACAATATTACTTCTGACGGTTTACTGCCAACTTCTTTCTGAACAGCGACCGATGAGACGATGACTGTCGTATTGATGCCTCCGCGAAAATTGAGGAAGTTGATTTTGAGCAAACAACCATGAATTGATTGTTCAATCTTCAACTACATTGACACTCCCCGGCAAAACACGGATCCATACCTTTTTTCCATCACGACCAATACACGTTGACTTGGATGCCATTTCGAGAACCTGGGTCACTCGGACAGAGCTGAAATGGAAATCAAACAGAAAAGCCAACACACCACAAGCATACTCACAGCACAATCTCACACATCAATGACGACCTGCGCCTTCCAGTTAAAGGCATCCTCTTGACATCTTGCAACACAATCGCCACTTGCTAGAATGACTCTTGCAGAATACAACGTGACTATGGCAGTACCTCACGATACTCTACGCTCATCCTCTTATCTACTCACTACCAATTACCACTGAAATCGCTTGTCACGCATTCTGCCTCAATTCTAGTAACGATGACGTATGCGAGCCTCAGTCGTTTATACTCTTTCTCCCCGGCTTATGTACAAAATCACACACCAAGCACATTGGACTGCTCATTGATGCGCTACCCTTTGAAGAATTGTAGGACTTACAGCAGTACGCCTACAACCCTTCTCAGGTTGACGCTCTAGGCTGGAATATCGTTGCAGAGTTCATTTGCTGACTTCCCTCTATCAGCTATATCCTCAAATCTGAACGGTAACACGCCCATGTCATTGTATCGTAGAATATAGATGACCAACAAACACACGACGTATCTGGTCAACCAAGCGTAGGCACAAAGTAATTTACACCAAAGGTAATAGCATTCAAGTAGTAACTTGAAACTAGAAATGCCTTTATTCATGCAAGTCAATTTAACAACTACTCTCTCGTTTACACCTGGCTTATCCTCTCTAAACTGAGCAACATCCTTCATCTTTTCAAGTGCACCAATACTATCATAGTCATTGCACAAGATACTTCAGTTGATGGGCGACTGTTTCATTGTTGATGACAACACCAACGACGACTGAGTGACACAAGTTGATGAACTTAGCGGTGGATCAGAAGCTGTTGTTGCTCGACTTTCAGAAATTTGTCTACCTGCAAGACCACCACCACTGCTGTCTTTTACTATCAGCTCAGGTTTAGCACTAGCATCTGATGATAGGTGGGCTACACGCTGATCAATTACACTGACGGTCTGACAAGTATGCTTGCCTTCTGGAACTGCATCTGCATTTATTTCTACTTCACGTTCAAGTTCTACAGAACCTTTATTTAACTTAGCAGTAGTAGGCATTCCCCTCATTTCATCATGATCAACCAAAGACAAATGTGAAGTATCATGATCATTATCACGAATATTCACTTTACCGTCAACTTCATCATTTTCAAACTCTTTAATAACAGAAGTAGACAATTTTGGTTCCTCCTCGCAAATCCCTAAAGGTTTTATATCTTCACTCTGACTAGTAATACCTTGTAAACTTGTAGGGTCAGAACTGGACTCTGAAGCAGCAACTCTATTCTGTGACACTCTATTCAACAATGGCTTACCAGTTGCAACTACAGACTTCTTGACCGCGCTGTTATCGTCACACAATTCGTAGTCAGGCCTGGAGTTTACATTTAGCTTATCACTGAACTTGCTTACTGATTCACAGTTCACTTCTGTATGCACCTCTTGCAAACGTATAAAACACAACCGTGTTTGTCTTGCATCTTGTAACTTATCTGTTGAGGATGTACTACGAAACCTGTTACACTCACTAGGTCTATATGCATTACTATACATCATGGAGCCTTCTCGATATCCACCTCTCTTAGGCCCTTTCGTCATCAATGATTGCGTTTTTCCCTCGGACTGCTCTATTCTAGGGGTGAGATTCAATATACTGGCAAACTTGCTCACAGATTGATTTACACTATCTTTTACTAGTTTCAGGATATCATCAAACTTTGGCTCGATACCCTCATCCTCCATACGGGAGCTTATCTTCACCCACTTGCTTTGCAGTCGAATGGGTAGGCGTCTTGCTATTACTTCTAGTATAAAACTCGAGTTGAGGTCATTCATGCAATTCATCGAAATCAAGGTATTCTTATAAGTCATAAGATTATCTAAAAACTCAGTAAATGCCTTGGAGTCATCTTGAAGTTGACTACCGTTACCTTTGACAGCTTCGTATACGTACCTTACAATCATCGAAGGTCTTCCAAACCTTTGACGTAATATGCTCATCGCCTCAGCGTATCCCTCATTAGGAGGCATGAGCTTACAGCACTCTATAGCTCTTGCAGCATCTCCAGTGCAATATCTCATCAAATACATCAATTTCAATTCATCATTTAATAAAAAACTACTCAGCATGATCTCAAACTCCTTTACAAATCGTAAATAATCAGCCGGGTTTCCATCAAAACACCGTGGTTCAAACTTAGGGAGTTTGATGTTCCTATTATCCCTGAACGGCGAAACAGTAACATCAACCATGTCATGCTTAACATCAGACACATCGTTACAAGTAACAGACAAGTCACCATGACTTACTTTCCTGTTTGCATCCAAGACACTCTGTCCCTTCTTTGACCCAGGCATTGTTGAACTTGACCCAATTCCAAGAAAGTCTTGGATATTGCTTGTTCAAAGAGGACTTGACCGGCACCAGGAAAGATGAACGGTGACTATCCAAACTTTCACCAACTGTCTGAATCCGCCAGAATCTGTTTCTACCGTCAGAAACTGCTTTAATCATCAGAAACTGTTGGCCACGTCTCATAAACCGT